TTTCTTAAAAACTACATATAATCAAGTATTGTTGTCCTGAGTGTTTGGCCAAAGTCTTCTTTGTCATAATATTTGGTCCAATTTATTGACACTGAGTGAATCTGTCCAATCCAAAGTCTTGTCAGAGTCTTCATTATCAAAATATTATACCATGGGATTGTAATCCCATGTTGCACTCTCATACCATACCATACCATGGTATTGCACTCCCATAACATACCATACCATGGTATTACACCCTCATACCATACACCGCCAACTGTCAAAAATGTGACTGTAAGATCACTCGGAATGATGGATGTCACCCCGACGCTCAATATAGATTGCAGGTGACACCAACGTTACCCACATCTTGCTAAATTTGGCCTGTGTTGATGTCATGCACAAGGCCCTTGATGGCTGTTGCTTGACATCTCCTCGACAGCTTGGTCTGTCAGCAGCTATTCGAAAAACCTGCCGCCGACCTGCAGTACAGGCAACCTGAACATTCCTCACCATGTACCTACAACATCCATTACTAGCTGTCCTCACCATATCATTGGCACACTGACTACACTTGGACTACACTGCCAATTTGTAAGAGACAGTTTTATATATATATTAGTTGCACAAAAATATAGCTATGTTGCCAAAACGAGGTCCGTACACTTCAGTTATAGAAAGAACAGTGACAGGTGAGTGAACAATGTGCCGCAATTCGTTCAAGTCCGTTCAAACTCCGACATCATGGGGTCATGTTGAATTTTGAATTTCCCAACACGGAAATTCATTGTTCTTCCTTCCCAACACATCAACGAATGGCCTCCTTTCTCGACGAACGGTCTTTGAACGGTCTCCTCCCTCGCTCGACGAACGGCCTCCTCTCTCCCTCGACGAACAGCCTCTCTCGACGAATGGCCTTGTCACGACGAACGGCCTCTCTTGACAAACGGCCTTGTCACGACGAACAGTCTCCTCCCAATGAACGGCCTCCTCACGACGAACAGCCTGCCTTCAACGAACGGCCTCCTCCTGCCTTCAACGAACGTCCTCCTCTCTCGATGAACGTCCTCCTCTCTCAATGAATGGCCTCCTCTCTCAATGAACGTCCTCCTCTCTCAATGAACGGCCTCCTCTCTCAATGAACGTCCTCCTGCCTTCAATGAACGGCCTCCTCTCTCGATGAACGGCCTCCTCTCTCGATGAATGGCCTCCTCTCTCGATGAACGGCTTCCTCTCTCGATGAACGGCCTCCTCCTGCCTTCAACGAACGTCCTCCTCTCTCAATGAACGGCCTCCTCCTGCCTTCAACGAACATCCTCCTCTCTCGATGAACGGCCTCCTCCTGCCTTCAACGAACGTCCTCCTCTCTCGATGAACAGCTTCCTCTCTCGATGAACGGCTTCCTTTCTCGATGAATGGTCTTCCCCCTGCCTTCGACGAATGACCTCCCCCTGCCTTCGATGAACGGCCTCCCCCTGCCTTCGACGAATGACCTCCCTCCCTTGATGGACGGTCTCCTCCCTCCATTGACGAACGGCCCTTTCCCTCCCCCACTTGCCCTCAAGACGGTGAAACGGGCCATCAAGGAAGTGCTAACTACAAATCCACACCTGGCACAGATGTGGCCTGTGAGTTCTTATATTACAGAGTCACTTCTTACTTCCTTATCTTGTGTATAATTTCCGTGTCGTCACCCCCAATAATTAATTTTTGGTTGTTATCTCTTCCCATTCAATAAATGAGCACATGGATCCTTGCAAAAGATTGGTGTTGCAGATGCCTACATGAAGCTTGAATTAATCTGACTATCTACCAAATGAAAACATGTACCTAGATGAATTCTACAGGTCTAACTAAAAGCTGTTGATAATGCCATGGAATATGTGGGCTGAAGCACACTTGCCGCCGGACATCCACCTGGCCCTGCAGCTGTTATCAATATCTGAACTACACCTGTCGTCAACATCAACCTGGAGACACACTGTCGTTGGGCAGTAATGACTGTTGAGAAAAGGTCCCATCAGCATGTCCGACAGCTGCCGAATTATGATGGACAGGGTTTTTTGCCCACGTTTCTCTCACATGTTGACTATTTGGCAGTGTACCATGGTATTGCACCCTCATACCATACCATACCATGGTATTGCATTCCCATACCATACCATACCATACCATGGTATCGCACCTAGTCCAAAAAGCGGACACTACAAACTTTAGTAATGAAAAAAGCGCACACTAGTAATTTTTGTAGTGAAAAAGCGGACAGTACAAACCAAACTGATATTATGTAATGACTTTCCAAATTGGGAAATATGCGAACATCGTCATAAACAATGACAACACTAAGCTAGCCACTAACTCCAGTGGCCCAAAGGGCATGGGAAACAGTTCCTGACCTAAATGTGCACTGTGCCTGACATTAGGTATGGCAGAAAAAAGTGTAACACTTTTCCAAATTAGGAAATGGCCCAATTAGGAAATAGTGCACACATCAAAGCAGACACTACAAAATTTTAGCCTCACTTTGGTCAAAGCTATTGGTAAATATATGTAAACAAACTTCGAAATGAGGGTTTTCTGCCTTCCTCTGCCTAAATAAAAATAGATTATGGTTCCTGATACCATGGTATGGTATGAGGGTGCATGGTATGGTATGAGGGTGCATGGTATGGTATGGTATGGGAGTGTGATACCATGGTATGGTATGGTATGAGGGTGCAATACCATGGTATGGTATGAGGGTGTAATACCATGGTATGGTATGGTATGAGAGTGCAACATGGGATTACAATCCCATGGTATAATATTTTGATAATGAAGACTCTGACAAGACTTTGGATTGGACAGATTCACTCAGTGTCAATAAATTGGACCAAATATTATGACAAAGAAGACTTTGGCCAAACACTCAGGACAACAATACTTGATTATATGTAGTTTTTAAGAAAATTGAGATTATATGATGGTGTTGTTGGCCATACTATATGTGTATGCTATGTAAGTAGGCAGGACTGTCTGATTGGGCCTACTGGGCAAAATATATTTAACCTATTATTGAAAGCATTCATATTAATGGCTTTTCAGGAATGAAAAAACCCTCAATTGAACTGATTTTTAAAGGTTGGAGTTGACTATCTGGCCTCCACTTGGAATTGGAAATCTTAGCAAAAACCTGAAACCCTTTCCACTTTTCTTTTCTTCTCCATGACCACTTCATCACAATAGATGTGGTTTTGTTTGATTTGGATGAATATTGTTCTAATAGACAGGATTGGGAAAGATATGTATCATTAAATGGCTTTGGATGCATGGGAAAGCTGGGATAAAGCCTATTTAAACTCATTTTCAATAGATGGTTTGGACTATCTGGCCTCAATTTGTAGCCTAATATCTCAGGAAAAACCTGGAGAACCACCCCACAAAAAATGGCACCCAATGGACCAGTATTGCAGCCTGCAGAAATAATTTATATATTTTGGAAAAGGACCCCAGACACCCTATGTCAGCTTTGGTATGATGGTATGAAGTGACATCATACCATCTGGTATGGTATAACAGGACATGGTATGGTATGGTGACATGGTATTGGTATGGTATGGTAACATGGTATTGGTATGAGTGGGGTATGGTATGGGTTTTCCATTCCATGGTACCATGGTATTGGTATGGAGCTCATATACCACCCTGGAATGGGTACCCCACAAGGTACCCTAAATCAAGGAATTGATGTACCTCATAGGTACCCAAAAATGGGTGACTGA